GGCGCGCATGGCTCCCTTTGTGGAGAGAAGGGGGTCTTTGAAGGACAACTAGTCACTTCTCCCTTCCCTCATTTCTTCCTTTCTCCTCTTCTATCTTTTCATTACTCCTCTCTCCCTCCTCTTCTTCATTGGACCTGCGGATGTCATCTGTCATGTGTGAAGCGGAGGGAGAAGGACAATAAAACCGGGTTGTCTTCTGCAGGGGATGAGGCATTTTTCATAATTAAGAGCACACCAGATTAGTGTGCCGCTCACATTTCTGGCAATTAGGCTGTCGGTTGATGACTGAGTGAACGGGGAACATGGCGATGAGAAGCAAATAACTCACTGCACACATCCAATCTCAAGTTCAAGCAGGCCTAATCACCTGCAGATACTAAAACACGCAGCCCTGATGATGGAGGCACGGAGGGAGGAGGATGGAGGCAGTGGTGGTGGGGGAGATGTGTCTGCCCCAACAGGAGTAAGAGCAGGAGCGGGCTCATTCCTATTGATTTGCCCGTATTGACTGTGATGTTTAAAGTATAGATTTTTCTATTTAAAAATCTATATCGACAATAATCTGGTGTGTAAGCGCCCGGCGCTGACTGATGCTGGCGCGTAATTGACAAGCATGTAACACGTCGCTGCAGAGGAAGCGAGGACATAGGGGAGCTATCCAGGGACGAAAGGGGCAGATAGTGATTTTACCTGTAACCCGGGAGCGTCGTCAACATTTATTCAAAATACAATCCTGGGGATTTTTCATGCACTTATTAGATTCATGCAGTTCACTCTAAAAAACATAAATGAAAAGGTTTTTTCAGGCAAGTTACTCATGCCTGGAGTGCTGCTACTTGTTTAGAACTGCATTAGGAAAACATGACATTTCAATATTATTTCTGTATTTTACAATTGCAACAAGAACTTTCAATTTTTCCCCTCCCTTTTCTCAGGATGTGGACCAGTAAAATTCATCTCACAAGGGATTATAAAACAGCAACCAACTGGTAAAATGTGTTAAAGCCATGACTTATTTAATGCACTACACTTAAAATATCATAGCCAACAAAATATTGCATGCAATCAGTCCTTTGTGATTGTGATTTACACATGCTGTTGTTACATGGCAATGGTGATCTGATACATTATGCAGTTGTTCCTGTCTTCTAGCACCGACCTGAAAGTCCACTTTGGTCCACTAAGGTGGGCTTAATGTGGTCAGGAGCAGAACAGGCCAAGATTGTTTGCACCTCTAAGCAAAATTTGATTTAGAGCCCTTTTTTCATCATCAACAACAGGACCGCAAAAGTCCTGTTTGATTTGTCTCGGAGGTCCGAGCTCAGATCTGGGAATAACGAAGCACATGAGAAGAACCGGTTCTAGCTCTGGAGCAGAAACAGCTGGGTCTCCTAATTGTTGTGGTGCCAACTTGACAAAATGCTTTTTCTTTATTTTATGCGTTTAGGAACTAAAGTGCTAATAAATAGTTTACCGAGGCAACACGCGGCAGTTTTTTGCTTGAAAAATATGACTTCCAAGTACAAACAGAATGAAACATAATATTTAAAGGAATTTGTCTAAGTTGTTTTTTTCTTCTTCTTCTTCTTCTTCTTTGTATGTTTGAAGTAACCCCTTCAGACCAACAGCTATAATAACTGTGACACACAATATGCTTTTTGGGTCAGTTTATTCCTCTTTATAGCCTGCTTCATAACTACACATTACCATTTATTTCTTTCCCATTTCCTTAAAATATAATAAATTTATATTTTGTACCAATGTGGCCCACCTACACCTTCACGTGCTAGTATGTTTTTTTTTTGTGAATCAAGTATTTTCTATGAATTATAGAAATGCTAAATATTTAATTGCATTCCCCCCAAAAGATTTGATTACAGAACAACCAACACTACAATGATAAGAAAAGAAAACAGAACATTTTTAATGCAGAATTATATAGTTTGTGAAGGGGGGCATTTACATTACATTTGGTTACAAATTCACAAAGAAAATAATTAATTATTAATTGACTAAAGCAGCAACTGTATGAAATGTGACAGCAAACTGCTGCTATCAAGCTAGCATAATTAAATTAATGCTATAATTTATCTCAGGATAACTCCAACTATTTTTCTGATTAAAGTAAAAAAAAAAATAATTTCAAATTATGAGTGAAGTTCACTTATGCTATTTGAAGGCAATCTTCAATCTCACAAAGTGACACTTTATTAACCGCTGATGTTTGTTTATTCATTACTCCATTTATCATCTATGCTTTACATTTCGCCTTTTTCTACTTCCATTTACTGCAAGTAAACAAACCATTTCACATCCATTTAATTGAACTATAGGAGAAACATGTTGTTCTTTTGCCCCAAACCACCACACAGCCATGGTGACGTCTCCATATGCCTGTTGATGAATATGGAAAATGAACAAGCTTCATATTTACACACATTTCGCTCATTTGAAAGCTAAATATCTATAGTCAAATTTATTACATGTGATATACGATGATTAGCTATCACCACTCTGGTTTAAAGTTAAAACTTGTTTAATTTTGTATGCAGTTGTACATACATTCAGGAAGTAAGTTAATTTTCCTATAGTTAACTTTCATAAGTTATGGTGATAAATTGTCATTAAGATGCTGAAGTTAAATCTTGCATAAAAAGTCTTATCTGGCTTTGTATTAGACTATATGATTTTTTTTTCTGTTTTCATCTTTTCATAAAATTTTGTCTACAAAGCAGCCTTACTGGATACAGAGACCCTGTGACCTCTGACCTTTCTGGGCAAAAGTCTGACTTTAGGTGGCATTTGTTCCATTTTCTATACAAAACTAGAAAAAAAATGTCTGCAAAGTATGAATAGAGCCCATTATAAAATCCCTCTAAATAGCCCAAATCTTTATTCCATGTATTGCATGTAACCCCCGTAGATTCATGTTTCACTAACAGTGCAACAATAAATTATCTGTTTGAGATAATCTGGTTAGCTGGACCCTCATGGTAACTCAGCTCTGTGTCACTTTGTTTCTTTTTCATGCAAAACCAGAAGGCATAAATAATCATAAACATACTCAGATGGCATCTAATGTAATTTAATTATGATTTTATATTCTGAAAACCTCTTAAAAAACATTTTATTTTGGTTATGACTCATCGACTATGACCCCAGATCAAAACAAAAATAAATGAGTGATTTTGTTTTTCTTTCCCCACAGAGTTTAAGTAGAACATGATAAATAGTTTGACATGTTTACCTCTCAACCGATATAAATGATACATAGAATAAAATGCAATGCAGCTCTGCACAAAGCATGCAAGCTGATCTCGCTATTCTCAGCAGCAACCAGGAGGTTTCTACTCAGTCCATGGGCATGCGGCTCCACTCATGCATCAAGCAATAGAAAACCTCTTCATGGCCCAGCTGACAAACATCTTCTATATCTCTATCTGGTGCTCTTTGCCCTTTCAATGCGTCACTGGCCAACCTGGTACCTGCTTGCACCTCTATCAGAAGTCACTCTAGCTGACTGGGGTGGGGCAGCTTAATTCGCTTATTCCTGGGGCCGGCTCTGGACGGGAGCAGCGTGATAACTTCGTTATGAGCAAGCCTTGCATCCTGACGGTTATGGGCTGTATGCGCCTCTTATGGGGACTTTTGTCCCTTCTCAAGGAGTCCAAACAATAATGCACTGATCAACGCTGGCATCATTATAGTCGGTATTATTAAGAGGAGGTGGTGTTGGTGGAGGGAGGTGTGGGGGGAGGATGATGGTGGCGGTGCAAAAAAAAATCAATACAGGATACCTTTTGCAGCGGTAGTGAAAACGAGAGAGAGGTGGGAAAGGAGGGGCGGTGGTGAGGTGCTTAGGCGGGTGTAGGAGGCAGGAGGAGGGAGGGATTGAAGGAGGGAGGAGGGGAGGTGCGGAGGTTGGGGGTGGTGATGTGTGAGTAGTAGCGGCTCCTCTCTCGCCTCAATGTTGCGGCCAGCCTGGTGGCAGATCGCTACAATCCTGGAGGGGAGCCGGGTCGAGTGAGCTATCTGGGGGTTCCCAAATTATAACGGGAGGGGGACAAAAAGAGACAGACAAAAAAATCCAAAAAAAGAGAGAGAAAGAAAGACGAAAAAAACAAAAAACAAACAAAAAACAAAAAACAAAGACACACAGGCGGATGGACGGAGATATAGGCAAGTGTTCCGATAAGACGCGGCACCATGGTCGGATTCTAGAATAGCAACGCCGTCTTGTGTTTTTATTTAGTTATTTTTTTGTTGGTTTGTTTCTTTTCTGTTCGTGGGGATTTCCGCTTTTAGTATTTATTTATTTAGATGTTTATTTATTTATCTATCGATTGATTGCGTTTTAATTACTGCCTTGTGACAGAGAGCGAAGGAGGAGGAGCGTCAGTGCCATGCGCGCTCGCCGCTGTGTTCGCTGACTCTTGTTTGTTTGTGTCCCCGTTTATTTACCATTTGTTTATTCCTATTTATTATTAGATTTAGAAAAAAAACAAAGAAACAACAACGACAAAAAAGAAAAACCCCGCTTAAACCGAGCTGTGTTGAATGCGCGATCCGGCGCGTTTGGCGTGTTGTATGAATGTAGACGACTAAGGAGCAGCTAAAGACCAAATATATACAATAGCCCCACAAAATGCATACATCTTAACAACTCTGCGTGTCTTTTCTTGTCCTGTCTTTGTGTTATCTCCGACGGTGTCGTTCTAAGCTGCCAAAGCGAATACCAAAGCGGCGACGCCACAGGAATAGGCTCAGCGACTGTTCTCATGCCTTCTTCACACCTACAGGACCTGCTGAGGAATGAGAGGGTAAAATAAGCTCCGGGGGCCTCTATGTTTACTCAAGGAGAAAGCTTTAGCAGAGCAAAGGTAGTGGAAGAAAGGCGCAGGTGCATCAGCTTTTATTCTAAGCTTTAATTCTAAGGGAACTTTTCACGTAGCTGCAGAAGTCGAGCTCCGCTGCTCCCCGTCTGCGTGTTAGTTACTCAAGGGACCACACTGCGTCTATATAAATATATATCTCTATATATAAATGCTCTATGCACGTTTAGGCTACACCAAAACTCTAATGCATCACACGTGTACATAAAAAAGTGCGCAGCCGAGGCTACATGTGCACACATCTAACCGCGAATGTTGTGAGCGCCACAAACCAAATATCCCCCCAAAGCTGTCTGCCAGAGAAGAGCCAGAAGCATCAGAGGAGGACAGAGCTTGTCACCCAGCTTGTGTCAGATTATTTGCATCCAAACGAGAAGCAGGAGGAAGAAGAAGATCATGTTTGTTCCCTTGCCGGTGCCGTTCGTCTTTCAGAGAACTGCCCCTGACCTCAGCGCCTGGCGTCTCAAGTCCCCTCTGGCTCTCCGCTCCAACTCCGGTAAGACATTTTTTTTTAATTATTTGTATTTATTTTTTTACTGTATCGTTTTTATCTTCCCTCCTTATCCTCCTCGTGCTACACCTCCTCCATGTCGGCCAGCCTCGCAGACCCGCCCCGATGCGCTTGCAGAGCTGGAAGAGCTGTCGGCGCACACACACCCACTTTACACACTCACTTCCCCCGGTCTCCTCTTTTTTTCTAACCAGATTCCTGTGCGCCTTTTGTTTGAATCGGAATTAATTTATCCGTGCATTAAGATAAAAAAAAAAATAGAGATATATATCCTCGTATTCGCTGTCCAGTCCGATGCGCCTTTACTCCATCCACCCCCTGCGTGTGATGTTTTATTTCCTCTCCGCCTCTGTGCTCCTTTCTCCGGGTCTTTGGCTCTCCAGCCTCCGCTCCCGGTCCTTCCCCTCTCCTCCGCTGCCTGCGCCTGAGCCTCAGCCTCCGACTCTCCCCAACTAGACTCTCGGCAGGCAGGGAATATTCATGCCAACTTATCGATCCTGCGGAGATCGATTCCGGGGCCGGTGGAAGAAGTGAGAGGGGGAGACAGAAGGAGAGAGCAAGGTGTACGGAGAAGTGCAACCATGCTGAAGGAGAATAGAATTACACCCTTTTATTCCTTTGTTTATTTTTTTTTAAATTGTGTGCATGAGCTTCATTCACAAACATAATCTGGAACCACGGACTAGTATTTATCATTGTTTATTGAGGCGCATGAATGCTTCCATCTTGGCAAAAAATCTCCACTTGGAGTGACTGACTGCGTCTCTTTCAGTCCCATGGCTTGGCTACTGCGCGGTGGGGAGCGGAGGGAGTGTGGAGTCAGGGAGGAAGAGGAGAGGAAGATGAGGAGGAGAGGAGGGGGGATGAAGCAGTGGCGCTGTCTGTGTTTTATCTGCGCTCATGTGGAAGAAAAGGGACGCATGTTGGGAGCATCCAGACCGGCCCCAGTGTATAAGTGCTGCTGTCAGAGGATTCAGAGCGCAGTCCAGCCTGGTCTGATTTCTAGGCATGCAACAGCTTCCTGTTTCTGTCTCGTTTGTGGACGAATAAAAAGCAAAATAGTTCAGCAAAGTGTTCTAGTAGCAGATCTCCATAACTTGTGAAGATGGACTGAGGCATAAGCAAACTTTGAACCTGCATAGTTGCACAAATGCACAAGTTTTATGCAGCTGCATAAAACTTAAATTATACTATGAAAAGTTTTATTTAGGCTAATTAGTTTATTTTAAAAGTGAAGCTAAAGTTGACTACACAGTGTGTTGTATTCATTTGGATGATTTTGGTTTACAGAAAACGGCGCCTCTCCACAAGGAGAGCGCTCCACAAAACGCTGCTGCTAAAAAGAGAAAAAGCTAAATGTTCACAGAGCTCTGTATCCTAGCATGTTCATGGAAAGTTAAGTGGAAGGAAAAATGATTGTAGAAAAAGATGGTCAATTAATTTGTGATTGCCATTAGTGGTAAGATGTAAACAGCAACAAAAGGTAGAAATATATTCCTGTGTGTCATCAATCTCGAACTTCACTTTTTGAAAACTCTTTAATGATATTTTAAATTATTAAGACGCAGGCTGCCTTTGTGCACTGATTTAAATGAGCTTTTAGAGGGGAAAGTTCAAAATTTTGGAATTGAGGTTCTGCTAAAAGACTAGTAGGCTATTTTACCTTCAATGTGCTATTCTACGCTTTCATTAAGTATAATGTAGGGAACCACATATGTGTTGCTGCAGGTGGTAATCCAGGGTGATTTGTAATTGGTTTTGGCATGAATGACAACAATTCTTTCCATTTCATGCATTCAAATCAATCAATCAATCAAATTTTATTTGTATTGCACATTTCAGCAGCAAAGTGCTTTACATCATAAACACAAAAATACAAAGTCATGCAACATAGAATAAGCAATACATTATTACGTATTACGTTTCAAATCACAAATAGAGGTGTCGCAGTACATATTGTAAATATAAATTATATATTAAATAGATGCAACTTTTAGGACATTTTTATGCATGGCAGCCATCTTGGATGCTGAACTTCCAGCTTCACTAGTCACAATTCTGGTTTCAGGGCGATGTTCTTGTTTTGTTTGGTGCTGGGAACCCAAAAATGAATATTTCCGCTTTATCGAGGCGATGCCCCATAAATCCAGACTACTTGGACCCAGATGCTGAAGAGGAAGATTTTTTTTTCTCAGCTAATGTGGGGAAAAAAAGTATTGAACTATCTCTTTAATGGGACAACCAAAACAAGCCGTACCAAATTCCTAGTATCGCTTTTAGAAATCTGTTTTGACTCATTTGATTTTGGAAACAGCCAGTTTCACCTCTCACTGCAACCAAGACAAAGGACAAGTGATGGAGATGAAGAGAGAAAAACAGGCTGCAGGGACGAGAATGACCTGTTACCTGCCGTTTCTCCAGAGACATACACAAAGAGGGGAAGGGACAGATGTTGGAAGGAGGGTGAGGCAAACGGACCCGCGGGGAGGAGTTTTTGCTCTCCAAGTGTTGAAAAATGGCAAATGTCAGAATGATATACAAAATAAAAGTGTGGAAAGAGAGACAGAGAAAGGAGAGAATCACGTGAAAGTGAGTGAGATGACAGAGTGAAAAATGAGGAAGGTGAGGAAAACTCAGTTTGAGCTGGAGAGGTGAGGATAAACCACAGATGAGCCATTATGTTGCAGCGTCCTGGGCCGTGGCCTTGCATCTGAATAAGCAGACAAACGGATGGGGAAGTTTGCGCCGGCAGCTGGGCTCCTTGGACGAGGGGGATGACAGTGATTCACAATGCTATGCTGATTTTATTCTGTTTAGATAAAGCAGAACGGCGCAATGTCCTTCTTGAAAAATGCAGGGTTTGTTGCTGCAAGGGTGCTGGGTCGATTCACAAACCCCAGAGTGAAACGAGACTGGGAACACGAGGAAACAAGATGGAGGGAAGGATGTTTGGCAACAAATTAATACTGAAACCAACAAAACTGACATTTTAAATCTGTTTAACATTTGAGCTTTAAGGGTTCACAGCTTTTGCGCTGTAAATGTATTTTTGCCACCAACTTTCTCATATCTTGTCATGTTACTACCACAGACTTTAATGTGTTTGGCCAAAAACAATTTGTAGAAAAGTGGAAGGAAAATGAGATATATGTGATTTTTATTAGTAAAAAATGTCAAAAGTGTGTCAAGGATACGGATTCAGCCGCTTTTACTCTGATACTCCCTAAAGAAGTGAAACCTGCTGGCTTCAGAAGTCAACTTGTTGGTAAATAGAGACAAAATGTGTGTAATTTAATCTCAATAGGAATCCAGCCGTTCTGTAAAGGCTTGGAAAGATGTGGAAAATTGATGTTTGCAGACACTCTGTGAGCTCTTTGCAAAGACAAAGAGTTTTAACAAACTTCAGTTCAAGGAGGTAGCAACAAACTCCGGAGCTGTTTCTGCATTAAAGGACAAAGTGCTGATTCAAAATGGCTAAATACTAACGTAGGCCACACATATTTGATTTTTATTCATAAAACATAACTGTGCTTCACTTTCCTTCCACTGCAAAATGATGTGCTTGTCTCCTACATCAAATCTCAGTGAAATACTTGAAAGTTTGTGAATGTGACGTCACAAAGTGTGGAAAAGTTCAGGAGGATGGAAACACTTTTGCAAGGCCTACAAATTTCCCGTGTAGTCTGTGGGCTTTTGATTTGAGCTCTCGGTTAACTTGTCTCTTTGACTGGTGGCAGCTACTTGACTCCTTTGTGTCAGAGCTTTGTGCCGGGTCAGAGGTCACAGCGGCAGTGTTAGACTCAGCCCCACCTGACCCTGCTCTGCCCCCCTGTGTGTTCATTCTCTTTTATGTTACAACAGGCCTCGAGCACTCATGCACAACCCCTGTGGGGGCTCACACACACACACGCAAACACCCCCACACACACATGGTCATGAAACAGACAAGCCATCACATGCAGTAGCATAAAACAAGCGTGTTAGACCCTTTTCCACCTGGATGGTGAGCTGCTGTAACCCATCCAGGTTTTGTTCTATTTTTAATGGCACCGTGTCTGTGAAAGGCACAGGTCAGTGGCATTGCTGTGTGAACTACCTGTGTGTAAGTAGTAAAGTGGTTTGTAGAGCCATCAGCATTAACCGGCGTATGAAAGTTTAATGGGACATAGAGGAGAAACCGGTGAGTTTCCCGCACGGTGCTGGGCTTGCTGGGATATGATATGATGGGGCCAAAAACTGCCTTTTTCCTCACACACTCATAGATTCAGTTCATCTTCACTATGCACTCTCTGTCACACACCATTAGCCACTGTTTCCTACAAGACTGACCCTCTTTCACGCATGCAAGCGCTTACACTTACAAATGGGTTTCAAATTTCAGATTTAAAATGCTGTTTTTTCTTTTTTGCTATATTTCTTTTTCTGCTTTTATCATTTAGTGACATTTAGAGACATTTTTGCTGTGCAGCTCCTGCAAGGTTTTCATTCGAATGACGAATTAAAAATGTGACCTGAGTCCAGTATCGATCAGGATTTTCCTGAGTGATACAAATTTCTGGGGTTTTATAGTTGTTTCTTTTTTTCTGAAAGCCATAAATGCTGATATGAAATCACCACATTTCCATTTACACTCATCACATTTGTGCTGTAGAAGTCTGAGCTCCACCTTTTGTTATGCAGAAATTTGCCTCAGTCTTTTAATACTTTGAAATTCTTTTGAGCCATATTTCTCTAGGCTTTCCAAATCCAAACTCTGGCTCCTTTGGGACGTTGCATCCAAACTGAGGTCATATTTTTACTCATATAAGATTATTTTGCCGTAATTCAAGAGAGGCAGCAGTCAGGCTTTTACACACTGATGCTGATTTCTGCTTGATTTGGGCTTTCTCTTTTTATTTAAGGGCAATAACATATAAAAGGCACAAAATAACTAAAATTCCAAATAAATGTCTTCTTTCTGTATCAAAACTGAAAAAGTGTCCTTT